GCAGTTCTTACTCTTAACACTAGTTGAACGCCTACATATTGCCTATAAAAATATCACGTGACAATTGGAGGGAGTGACAATTGGACGTGACAATTGACAATGGGAGAAAATATCACGTGACAATCACGTGATAAACGTCATACATTGGAGGGAGATTGTGATTCAAGCTGGAGGAATTCCTTTGTTGAGCCGCTAGAATCCGAAGGAAACAGCGGAAATTGCCTACGACTATTTAATGAATTTAACGGTGATGAATAAGTGCGAAAAACGTTTTGGCTTTATAAAATTTGATGAAATGACCAGGGTAAAAGTTTTATTACTGGCGGTCAATTCAAAACGGCGCAAACATTTAAAAAGTGAAGATAGTGAAGCACGATTCAGCACGATTCAAAGTGTGGTACACCTTTCGTACTTTGAGCGGCGATAGCGGGATAACGGTGTGGAGCTTCGAGGATCGGTCTTCAGTTCCCGGACCAGAAAGGTGGGGCCTATGCAATGTCAAATTTCATCAAAATGGTGATACTGTCCCTTTAATTAGCAGCCTGAACCAATCACAGGGCAGATTGGTTAATGGCTACGTAAGGGGACATCCCAATAACACATCATTGAACACACCGCGTTGCAGGCCGAAATTCCAACTCCTTCATGGTTGGGCCGAGAACTTTTTGAACGCCCCTCGTACGTGCGCTAACGGTGTGTTTGCTTCAGTCAACAGACGCGGTGGTGTTAGCGGGCCGCGGCGGCTGCATTGTCGATTGTGCGCCCGAACACGACGGCTGGGTCGTGACCGGAGCGTCGACACGGGACGGAGCTGGGTGGGCCAGCCAGGAGCGGGCCGCGAGGTGGTCAAACGCAATAACATTCGATTGGTGACTGAATGGTCTTTTCAAGCTCATTTGGAAATAATATCAGTGGAGCATTTTGATGATGGGAATGACGTGTGTATGAGCTTTTAGCCGTAGGTAATTGCTCGTCCGTGTAATAGTGGATGATTTGTACACACACAAAAAAATTCAGAAGTGGTAGCTCGTTGATATTATTTCAGCGCAATGCAACTGTTTTTCTGACTTCCTCTGATTGGAACCGGGTTGATTTTGGATGATTTGTATAAAGAAAGATAAACTCCAATTCAGAAGTGCACCTCCAGTGCAGTTGTCAGTGGTCAGCAGTGCATGTCCAATGCCTGCAGATATACTCGGCTCGAGGGTCGGAACCGCGTGGCTGCATGTGAAGCCTTCGGGCCACAGATTGAGATGCTGGTAAAAATGTCCCATCGTGTGTGGTTATCGCACGTCAAGTTGCATCTCTCCGATTTACTGCTGAGTGCTGAGAAGGCAATTTCATGCATTCATGGCTGTCACCATTTGTGTGATGTCAATTAAATCGTGTTTGCGTTGTTGACTGCTTACACGAACTATGCTAGTGAAACGGTCCCTCTGGACCTCAAGAGTGGCTGATTCTGCTGGACAGTCTGAGTCGTGTTAAAGGAGTGTTTCTCTAGTCACAAGCGATACAGTTCATTGGCCACAGAGGCTCTGGAATGTTTCCACTCACTCCTCCCAGCACAACCCCGGGATGCCTCTCAGATAGTGTCAGAAACGCGTGAATTATGTGACACACCGGGACTCAAACCAGCAAGTCACGGCACCCCCATCCAACACAAAACTGAGCCGACGCTGGTCTCACGGCTGTCGAGTCGGGCTCTTCCTGCCGTCCGCGATTTGTCCTTGACCCGTGCGACCTGCGGTCATCGTTCTCACGTCTGACACCGGTCCTCGCTCGCCGGGTGACCAAATGGACACTGAGGGACCGTAACGGCCTGGGGCGCGGCGCAGCTCCTGGCCGGCAGACTGAGAGTGATACCCCGGTGTGATACCATACAGGACGAGGCAGCGCTAATAATAAGCGGTTTGGCGTCGGCGGACACATCACACTACATACATGGTTGTGGATCTTGGAAAGCGCACCTGCGCGCCCCTTTCTCATTCTTTCGTTACAGAATACCTAACTGTGCGGCATTTTTTTTTACAGCGACCACTGTCGCTTGTGACCCGTCCCCGAATCTGTTGCACTCTCGGACCACTAATGGCCGCCTGTCGATCTCTGACATAGTACTACAATCAGATATGTGCAGTGTGTCGTAACCGACCCGGTGGCCAGCAGTGGTCGCCTCCTGTCGTGCCACATGTGTGCTGACCTGTGGTGGCCCGGTCGGCGCCCATCGGCACATCGTGGAGCCATTATCTGCAGCGGTCAGCATAGGAAAGTGACTGCGCTCATGGGCGGGCCGCACCTACTGCCGATCCCCACCGCTGATCACACATTTCATACATTTACGAAAACCCATCGTTTGCAGTGAATGATCGTCCTGATTTATTTAGTTATATTTTATGACTGAAGGCAAAGAGGTTCCAGTTTTTGTTCTGTAAGCTGGATTCCACCATACCAAGCCGTGACGGTTACGGTAAACATCTTATGAGTTTTTGCCGTTATTTTGTCCGGACGGAAGTCGCTGATGCTGAATGGTTTGATGACATGACGATGGCTGACGGTTCCGACATGACTCGATGTATTCTTCTACGGCACAAAGTCATCTGTTACGAACAATTTGGCAACGTGCAATTTTAGAGCTGGGTTCCCAGAGCTGAAGCTGATTGATCACACTTCGCGTGTATGTCTTTATCCCATTTGAATAAGGAGCTCACACATCTCGCTCAAAGGGAGTAATATTGAAGCCTCTGTTTACAAAACATATTTCATTCATTTCAGGATTGAACCAAGTATGTATTTACTTGACATCGAAAATCGAGAACTCTTTAGGTCTAGAACTAAGGAACAGGAATAAATTTGTTACCTGTGTAGGTATTACGGAAAGCCTGCCAATAAAGTTGTTATCGCTGTCCAACGCGAGTCGTGCTTGCTGATCACCGATTTCTTTAGCTTTATTAGACGCATTATGATAGGTACCTTGATATCTGATCTACATATGTTTTGTTTTGCTTGTTTTAAGTCCGTCTAAAATTGAGGCATTTTTAGGCACGTAGCTATGGTAAGTAGTCATAATTCAAGCAGTACATATTGTCTAACGATCTCTGATGTTACATCACTTAGCGTTACTTTTTTAATCTACACTTATAAATACAGCATGTATGCTCGAACCTGCGCGCGTTGACATACCACAAAGCATTGTTCTGATGAGTAATTGCTCTGCTCTGTCTCTATTTTTACGCTTCAAATGTACCGCTTATCTATCAATATATCAGCACGCAGTTATGGCGTAAAATGCCGGTGCTGTTACGACACAGTTTGTCGACTCTGCGGTGGACTGTCTCCCTCGCCGTCTGAGGACGGATGCGACATAAGCAGGCTGTTCGGAATCGGAAGGCAGTTTGCCGTTTTACTGCAGTTCAACAGTCATAAATGTTCAGCACGGTTTTTCTTAGGATCGGTCTCATGGTTCTCACAATGACCTATCATATGCTTTTGTCACCGTCAGCACCATGTTATAGATAACGCACTAATAACGCGAGATAACGCAGATGAAGCAGCGGAGACAGGGCGTATTTTAACATGTTAACTGGGTCGGCAATTGCCGACCCAGTCACGGAGAATGCCGACCCAGTGACAGCCGTTTGCCGACCCAGTTGCCGCCCCCTCTAGGATGCAGCACGCACATGCAGGCTAGGTGCCGTCATTCATAGTGAGGCTGCTGCCCTCCAAAATGATAATGCCGCCTCTTAAAGTGAACCAGCCGTCTATAGAAAGTGATCATCCCGCAACTCAATGTGACAGTGCCGCCCCTAAATCTGTTAGTAGCCCCACTCAATGTAATGGTGCCGCCCTTCATAAGCATCTGTGGAGCCCCTCAATGTGATGATACCGCCCCTCAAGAAGATGATGCCGCCCCTTTCAGTATCAGTGGCGCCCCTCAATGTGATGGTGCCGCCCTCAAAGTGCCGGTGGCGCCCCTGAATGTGATGGTGCTGCCCGCCAACGAGTCGGTGGCGCCCCTCAAAATGATGCTGCCGCCCCTAATAGTGTCAGTGACGCCCTTCGAAGTGTCGGAGGAACCCACCAATATGATGGTGCCGCCCCTCTAGATATCCACATAGCCCCTCATTGTGATGGAGCCGCCCCTCAAGCAGATGATGCCGCCCCTGAATGTGATGGTGCTGCCCGCTAACGAGTCGATGGCGCCTCTCAAAATGATGCTGCCGCCCCTTAAGTGTTAGTGCCGCCCCTTATGGTGTCAGTGACGCTCTTCGAAGTGTCAGATCAGAGGAACCCACCAATGTAATGGTGCCGCCCCTCTAGGTATCCACATAGCCCCTCATTGTGATGGAGCCGCCCCTCAAGCAGATGATGCCGCCCCTCAAGAAGATGATGCCGCCCCTTTCAGTATCGGTGGCGCCCTTCAATGTGATGGTGCCTCCCTCAAAGTGCCAGTGGCGCCCCTAAATGTGATGGTGTCTCCTGTCAACGAGTCGGTGGCGCCCCTCAAAATGATGCCGCCGCCCCTAAAAGTGCTGGTGCCGCCCCTTAAAGTGTCAGTGGCGCCCTTCAAAGTTTTGGAGGAACTCATCAGTCATCAATAAAATGTTGCCGCCCTCTAACTTTCTGTAGCGCCCCTCCATATACATAATGGTGCCGCTTCTCAAACCATCCGTGGCGCCCCTCAAAGTGATGGTGCCGCCCCTTACAGTGTCGGTGGTTTCTCCTCAAAAGTCAAGGTGCCGCCTCTCAAAGAAATGCTGGTGTCCCTCGAAGTGTCGGAGGCGCTCCTCAATGATGTTGCCGCCCCTCAAACCTTCCGTAACGCCCCTCCACGTCATGGTGCCGCCCCCAATGTGCTCATGGCGCCCTTAAATGTGATAGTAACGCCGGTCAAAGTGCTCCTGGCAGTGTCGGTGGCGCCCCTTATAGTGTCGGTGGCGCCCCGAACAGTATCGGTGGTACCCCTCAAAGTGATGATGTCACTCATGTCCGGAGCAACATGGCTTCCGTAGGGGTCACTCCACGGAGTCTGCTATGCTCGACGCTGTCCAATTCATAATATCGGAAACTGACAAGGGGAAAGTGGTGTCAAATATTGCGGCCGATATCTCCAAAGCCTTTGACAGCGTCGAGCATGGCAGACTCATGGATAAACTAGGTTGGCACGGTGTGGATGGGCACTGGTTTTCCGACTGGCTTGACGGTAGGCGTCAGATAGTAAAAGGGGGGTCACACCTCCTTCCTGTCACCCATGGCGTGGTACAGGGGAGCACTTTGGGAGCAATCTTGTTCTCGTTATTCACTAATGATGTCGCTTCCCATGTCGTTTGCGATAAAATTGTAATGTATGCCGATGACTCGCAATTTCTCAACAGTTTCAACAAAAACGATATGAATAGTCATAAACACAAAGTGGAGGATATGCTCTCCATCGTTCAGAACTGGGGTGACCAAAACGGACTTAAAATTAATCCGGCTAAAACCGAAATGATACTTTTTGGCATGCCAAAACAAGGCATTGGTGGCGACATTATGGTGAACTTTGCTGGTGCGCAGGTGCGGCCAGCAATCAAGATGAAAGTGTTAGGCGTCACATTGGACCCCGAGCTGAAGTGGGAGGACCATGTCTCGATGGTGATCCGGAGATCATACGCAACTTTGGCAGGGCTGGCGAAATTTTCCCATTCTTTACCCACCGCAGTAAAAAAGTTCATTGTTGAGGCTCTGGTCTTCCCACATACACTGTAAAAAATGTTAGCACAGTTTGAGTTTTCTGACTCACTTTAACGATGTGTTCAAACAACTAACTTGCTAATGAATCCGTATTTATCGAGTAATTTAAACCTTATTGCGAAGCAAAACACGGTTAGTCCAAATCAGGATGAACTAGCTCGGAATCCCCATGTACAATGACACTGTTCGAGTAATCGCCATGTATTCATACCCGCAATTGGCGGACACTGTGTTCCGAAACACGAATACGATTTTGTGGAAGCATCTTTGCGCACGGTTCTACCGTGTTGAATGACACGTTGCCGTGTTTTACCCCTCTGCGTCGAGTTTAAAAACCCGAATGGGGTTATTTGGGCCGCGATCTTGAGGGACATTAACACCAATTAACACTGTGGGTTGTTAACTTACTCGGTTCAGTTTCGCGCCAAATGCAGCGCCGCGTGGGCCTCAGTCGCCATCTTTGTGCGATCCAGGGAGGTCGTGTCTGTGCTGCGTGTGACTTCTTGTTGGTAAGTACAAGTGATACTTGCTCCAAATTTTTCTTAGCAATAACATCAGTGATATTAAATGCCTTTTAGGTGTGGTTACATAAATATTATCCGTGTAGCGTGGCGTTATGGATGGAAAGGAGGAGCCCTCGGCCCTGATTCTCATTCTGTCACTCCACCACTGGTGGCTATGTGTGCGTTTGTAAACATGCTACTTACATGAATAATTTTGACTGTACCTTTTCAACTTTTGCTATGTATCTACCAGCTAGTTATAATTAGTCTGCCTGGTTTCTCTCTTGCCTCTCTCTCTCTCTCTCTCTCTCTCTCTCTCTCTCTCTCTCTCTCTCTCTCCCATGATATCTCCCTCTGCTTTTCCATTTGTCTGTGGATAAGAAGTAGGTAGACATCTGTTTGGCTGCGAACTGACACAATTTATTTATTTCAGAATATGGCTCAAGATGAGCAGAATGAAGGTCAATCTCGAAGTCCCACAGTCAGAGCTCAAGACTGTCAGGCAGGACTTCACTCCTTGATGAATGCGGCTCAACTGCTAACAGGATAAGAAGGTATTGTCCTATTTCTGCCGATTTATTATTTCACATATCACAAATCACAATTAGTGTCTGCATGGGACTCTGTTGTGTTGTATTTTAGTAGACTAGGATTTTGCCTTCTATAATATGAAGCCGATATTGAAAATTAAAATCACATGTTTAACATATTTATTATCGTCAAAAGCATAACCGATTACCCAAATCCGACGAGAGCCCGGGCGCCCCGGCGCCCCGCTCTACCCCTGCGCTCTCTCTCCCAAGGCCCCTCCCTCCTCTCTCGTCCCGCTCCCGTGGTCAGCTGTCCCGCTGTCCAAGCGCCAGGCCGTTGCCATAGCGACGGCTGACTGCCTCCTCCGGCGGACGGATCCGGACGCCGAAACTCAGCCGTCTGTATTTTGATGTGCATTGGCTATTGGGTTGATCAGGGTTGATGTTGAACGTTACCGATAATAGGTATAAACTATAGAGTCGATGGTGAACTTACCTAATCGCCAAGTATGTGTTAGTTTATAAACGTTGGCCTTTCGTGTAGAGTAGGTATAATGGCAGGGAATGGCCATTTAGAGGTCAAGGGACGGTCACTTCAGTAAAGGGTGCAAGCTTAACCCGCGACGCCCGCGACCCGCTGGGGAGTGGGAGGCACCCCTGTTGTTTCTCGCTGATAACTCAAAAACAGCCGCGATTTTTAACTCGCCGATTCTGGTACTTCTCCGGACATCAATTTCACTCAACTCCTGAAAAATGCGTCCTAGGTCACCTCGGGTCATGAGTTATGGGGGTCAAACTGAGGTCATGTTCGGACATTTTCCGTCTAAAAAATAAAAAAGTCGTTCACGGGAATAAATCACAAAATAGATTTTCAATCAAGAGACTCAAAAATCGCACATTAGGTACAAAATGCATGGCAAAGGAAACTGCTGCCACAAAATTTCCGAAAAAAAAATATCATGATTTTGATATTTCTACACTCAAAACTCCGCCAGGTTTTTTAATTTAGGGAAGTTAAAAACGGAGCATATGTCGGAGAGATCCTTATTCCTTATTGCCTTTACAGGGTGTCTCAAAAAAGTGTTACGGCTTTGAACATCTCCCGTTTCGTAACCATACACATCCTAAAAATTAACAAAATATGTGTGTATAAACTGCCAGTGATATATGTAGTTATTTGCAAGACTAAAAAATAAAAAGCGACTGTTCTTGTGACGTCCGATTTTTTTTTCAGCACTTGTTAGGTACTGAAAGTAGTCTAGAGTAATCTCTACGATACTTGCCCCTCTCTCCCTGACTAAATAGGTATCAACGTTTTGTCGTCTCTTTTAAATGATAAGTCACTTTAGTAATAAAATGTTTGTCATTATAAACTGCTACAATTTGACCTTGCTTGCCGTCCTGTGATGTCATAGGTCAAAGAAAAATGACGTCGAGGAGACGCGTCGAATAACCTATAAGTTGACCCGAAAAGGTCAACTTAAAAATTTGACCTCAGGTCAAGATCACGGAAAAGGTCATGTTGCATGTCATTCGATTCGTATTGTTAAGCTGAACACATTCCTGGTGTTTTCAGAAACTGTTTGAGACGGTTCGTGACCTGAGATGACTTCAGAGGCATTAAAGGGGTCACAGGTGCAATTTTCCGGTTCATTGTGCCATGTTCATCTGTGTCCCGATGTTTGAGGGTATTTACGGCCAAAAGAAGCGGATTTCAAGTTTCTTCCATTGACTAAAAGTCAGTGGAGGGTCACAAAATCGACCTGACCTTAGGTCACAGATATCAAAATTCCGAGAGATGCAAATTGTTCATACTGACAAGCTCATGCAATAGCATGAGTTTCAAACTTCTGGGATGTACGAATATACTTTAGAAATGACTGAATCACAAAGTTTAAAGAGGCATGATCACTTAACCCGCGCATGACTGGGGTATTTTCCATAACGCGAGTGACTGGGGGGGGGGGGCTCTCCAGAGCCCCCCCCCCTCCTATCTCCGAAACTACTGGGCCGATAGTCAAAATTCAAACGGCATCTGATAGCCCTGGAAAAACTGTCGAGCGAAACCTATTTTAATTGACCTCGAGGTCACCGATGACGTCACAGGTCAGGTCAAAGAAAAAATTATCGACATTTTTGCTAGTTCACAATTTAGGCTCTGACCGCCGGACCGCCGGTCCGATCAGGCTCATTTTTGGTTTACGCACTCCTTGACGGATGCCTTAGATACCCTGAGGGTACCGAACTTTTACTTTGAATTTTTAAGGTCAAGGCCAGGTCATCCTAGGTCACGAAAATTGTATATCATGTATCGGTCACGTGACGCAGGTTTTATGGTCCATTTTACTCGTAGATTTCGAATATAGTGTCGTCTGTGTCATTTGAGGTCATTGTCAGCTGAATTTACCGGAAGTCAGGCCACTTTCAGGTCAGAAAAGGTCAAATTTTGAAAATGAAATTTTTCAACAAAAAAGGTGCCTATCAGATGCAGTTTGAGCTCAGGAACACGATGGTGCCAATTATATTGCTGTACGACGTCAAAAACGTACTGAAAAATGGATTTGAAAAACATAAAATTGTAAAATTTTGACAATAATGCAAATAACTTGGCTATTTTTGAAGATATTGGGCTAAAACTTGCAAAGGTAGTTCATCAGGGTGTGTTCTATCACATGTATTCCGGTTTTTGCGAAAAGTCAAAAACTTTTTGAAAAAATCAAAAAATATATTTTTGTAATTGTAAATACATATTTTTCAAAATATTCCAATTTTTCAAAATTCGAGATAGCAGTTTAAAAGCTACGTGTATTTGTAGTCCACTCATGCAAAGAAAATGGATCTAGCTTTAAAACTGAGCTCTTGAGAGCGTTTGCCGTAATTCAGTATTTTGCATGAAAATCGGCCGACATGACGTCACTCTGACGTCATTTCCGGTTAAACTATGGTGGCTAGAAAGTTGAAATTTTAACACAAGGTGTCAAATTGATGCCTCTGAGGGTATCGCAAGTTTCGTGTTGATCCGTCAAACAGTTTAGAAGATATTGCTGAAAAACGTGAGGGGGGCTCTGTAGAGCCCCCCCCCAGTCATGCGCGGGTTAACTTGGCCTGTGACCTGACCTTATGTGACCCGGGATCGAAAATATTACTCACGATGTAAAATTGATGTATTATAAGCTATACCAAGTTTCGCAGCGCTGCTCGCCGAGTTTTTTACACTCGCAAAAAAACTGGCAGGTGTGGCCAACGCCCCACCCCCACCCCCCACCCGTGCGAAAGTTAGGGTATGTATCATTATGCCGTTCACTCATGCACTTCGTCAATTACTAACATTATTTCTTTCTTATTTCAGACACGGACCGGGAGAAGTTGGACGCTTTTTAGAATTTCCTCTCGTACCGCTAGTGTCATGGGTGGACGGGAGCGAGGCTGCCATCTCCGAAGACAACACGCCTCTGAGTGTGCGCCTCCTAGTTTGTGCGGCAATGTTCCCCGTGTTCAATGAGAAAATTCAATGCCCCAGCGCTCAGAACTCCCAGCTAGTATTGACGCAAGAGCTCTCCCAAATGTCGACCGGAAAGTCGTTAAAAAAATCGTTGCGACGACCGCGGCTCGACAAGCTGAGGACCGCGCCAGTGAATGCATGTGAAACGGCACCTCTACTCTCTCATCGCCAGGCCCAAAGACGTGTTGTTTATAGGTGTCTTTCATAATACTAGTGTTGCTGATCGCGGAGGACCACTGTCCACTGCTCGTCCGCCGTGGCGTTACTTCTGATGAGGCTCAGAGCGCATGTGTATTGTTTACTGTGAACAGTCTGTTGAAATATATAATGAGTAGATCTGTACTCTGAGACTTAATGAACTTGGCTAACGAGGATGTGTGTTAAAGCAAAACGAACTGTGTTACACGCCTCAATAATTATGTGGAATGAGTTGTATAAATGTATACTTCATGTCGATTTATTGCGGTTAAAGACGTTACCTCTGTTTAAACGCGGCTGGGCCTGTTACAGCCCCGTTTGCATCAAAGAAGGTACGTCTTTCATCGCAATAAGTCCACATGAATTATATATTCATATATTCATTCAACATGATCATTGAATCGTGTAATGCAGCTCATTTTGCGTTAATATACATTCTAAAAGGAGGTACTGGACGGGAAGTATATGAACACGAACCGAGCTACGAAACACGTCACACGTTTTTGGCGTGCTCAATAACATCTTACACTCCGGTATGTTAACACCATTTAGGATTCCGCAGCGATATTAAGCAGAGCACAGTAACACGAGTGTAGCTAATTAACACATTACATGTTTAATGCGAGTATTGTAGCACGCCTTTCGATACACTAGAAAGTCAATGACGAGTTATCAAACTCGTAACACGTCTTTAGCGAGTAGCGGAACACTACAAACGACAGACTTAGAACTCGTTCTAGTGTTACTTAACACGGCCTTTCCGTGTAAGATAACATCACTAAACGTGTAACATCACACGGTTATACCGAGTCGTTTTTGTCCATATAACACGAAACGTGTTATGATTTTTTACAGTGTATAGCGTATTGCCTTACTGTTTGGGGTGGGTGCAGGGATGTCCAGCGGAAACGAGTCCAGAAGGTGCTGAATCATGCTGCCCAAATCACTACCTCATCACGGCGCAACGTGCACGTCACACCGTTGTTCGCTGAGCTATAATTGGCAAAATTTAGACAAACTTATTGTGGAAAAGGATATTCTCACGATTCATAAGATTCTAAAAGACGGAACTTATTCCGCAAATCTAAAAACTCTTGTCGAGTCCCGCGCAGACATATCAGCACGCAGCACCCGGGCCGTTGAAGCTGGGCAGCTCCAGCTACCCAAGGTGCGCACTGAACGTGCCCGGCGCTTCTTTACCTACCGCGCCGTGGCTAGCTGGAATGGAGCGCCACCAGCTGTCCGGGAGGCGCCGACCGTTAGGCAGTGCAGGAAGAATATCAGAGAGAATGCGTTAGTGTGATAGTTTGTGCAATGTTTATATCTTAGGTGTCATTGTTCGTTCGCCTTTTAGGTCGTTTAGTACCGCTCCATTTACTGTCATCTTTTACATATATTTCATGTACAGTGGATCTAGTAAGGATCTCCAGACGAAACTAGATGGCGTTGAGCCTCAGTCGAGTCCATGTGAGATTCAAGGAGAGGTCACTACCGAGCTGAGCCCGGTGGGGAGGTGGGGAGGGGCGAGAAGGCGGGGCGGGTGGCGAGGTCACGGTGCGGGTGACCTGTCAAACAGCCCCGGCGCGGTGGGGCACTGCCGCAGGCAAATGGCGCACTCCAGCGTTGTTCCATATCGCGGTGGTGGGCCGGGCGGCCGGTTAGCTTGGCAGTTGGCTGCTTGGAAGGAAAGGATAATGAGGCATGGGTTTGCTGTGGCCGGTTTATCTACTGTCAACTATGATGAACCCAAAGTAATGCAAATGTGATGTTGCTAATGCAGCTGACAATGCAATGCTAGCGAATGCTCCGGGCGACCAGTATACTGGTATAGCTATAATATAGCTATAGCTATAAGGATTAATATTATTTATGTCTCCTGAAATTTTCACTGAATATAATTCAAGCAATAGGAAGATCGTATCGTTCGCCAGTTTTTTGACCGACTGGCGTTTCTTGCGTAGAGCGCCCTTTGACAAATAATTATCACGCAGGTGATTTTTTTACTGGTAAGATGGGCCTTTAAGGTCAAATCAAGTCGCTAAGAGAAGATGAGGAAAAGTAGACGAATGTCACATTTTTGTGCATGAAGTCTCGTGTTAAAAAAAGCGTAAAGTTAATACACGTGTAAGCTAAAAACAATCAGATCAGTTAATAAAAATATTTGACCCGAAATTAGCCTCTGTTTTGTCTGACCATGATTGCGTGTAAGACACCGGTCCAACAGGGTTCAACCCGGCACAACCTGGTTCGGCAATCGGCTCCCCTTTTTTAATATTAAATTTGGCCCGAACCTTTTGAATGAAAGGAATCACAAGGACAGAGTCCCCGCTAAGCTGAGCTTGTTGCGTTGTCCCTGCTCTCTACCCTCCGATCAAACAATTCCTGGTCTATGGCAGAATTAGAGTCCAAATTTTAACGTGCGCACATAGCCGCGCACGGCCGGTCCCCTTACTGACTTCGCCTGGCAGCGGCCTGCCACCAACCACAAAAATACCCGTCAGGAGGCTCAAAAATGTCAAGCACACGTCGCGTTTCGAACCCGGACTTTTGCGACCGGGACGTGCGCTCTCACCACCATGACACATGGAGTCCAGCGCTCCACCAACCGAGCTACCGGGACGGACATTTACCTTGCGGTTTCGCCTCGTGACCGTCAGACACTTTGGCCGAATTCTAGACGAAACACTGAGCAAGCTGCGCAGGGCGATAGGTGCTCGTAGCGTTGAGGTTGGGTAGCCTGTGAGCTGAATGCGATGTCGTGAGTTCGAGCCCCACTCCCGGGTCTGGTTTTATCTCGACACGAGCCAAACCTTTCCTTCTACTGCAACACAGATAAGCACGATAGCATCTTTCCCGAATATCTTTCCCCAATATCCTCTCAAAAAGTCAAAATTATCGCTTATAAAATGTTTAGCAAAGTTTCATTTTTCAGAAAATATTTTTAGACATTTTTCTGGAGCCATTTCAATTTTTTTTCTTTTCTGATTCTTTTCGGCCCGATAAAACCCGCCAAACTGATCGTGCCAAATGAAAAATATCTAACTCAACTAACAGTTTAGAACAGCCTCATCATGCATCATGAAAAGCATCATGCAACTATCGACTGAATAGTTGCATGCTATGAATGCGTCCTAGATTTCAATTACCTATCATTGTTCAATATTTTAGCTGGAACTGACGCTGCCTCTGGCCTGCCCGTTTGTTTGAGATAATGATTTCCTTCAGTCGCATTCTTGCTGGTTCCACATGAACAGAATACCACCATACCGGAGTGAACGCACCCGCAACCATCATCCCCTCCCATCAGCCTCGGCGCAGTGGCGGGCGGCCCTGGGCGGCCCACTCCCGGCGCTACGCACGCCCCATGCGCCGTGATACCCCGTCACTCCCCCTCCCTCCTTCCCCCACAATGACCGGCGACCTCACTTCCCTCGGGATTTGGACTCGCCCTACCCCGACCGTAGCGCCACGTGGTGGCTCTGGAGATGTTAAATAGACCCACTGTACAGTCTGTCTTAAAAGTACCGCGCAAAGTGGCGGTGGATCCATCAACCCTGACCGAGAAAGGGCCTGCTTTAATTTAAAAGTCACCGACCAATTGACCTAGGGAATGGACAAGGATGTCAGTTGCTTCGGTGACCCAAATTTAGCAGGCCCTTGCTCAGTCGGGCTCGATGGATCCACCGTCACTTTGCGCGGTACTTTTAAGACAGACTGTACCTATCGGATGGTGATTTAGCTTACCTCAACATTTTATAGATGCTGTTATCGTGGTATTTTAATATTCTTATCGTGTTCTTGTATTTTACTTTTCTTTTTGTATTTTTATCTATGCCCGAGATGTGAGATGATTTTCATGTATACTGACACTACAACGTAAAAGCCACTACGTGGATGTTGTAACGAGCCTAAATAAATAAATAAATAAATAAACTCAAACAAACGGTGGCGCCCTTCGAAGTATCGGAGTCCCTAAATATCATACCTATTGCCACCCATTAACCATCTGTAGCGCCCCTCCATATGATGAAGCCGCCCCTTAAAGTATCCGCGGCGTTCCTTAAAGTTACAGTACCGCCCCTTACAATGTGGGTGGCGTCCTCAAAATAAAAGTGATGTTGCCCCCCCCCCCCCCCCGAGTAATGTTGGCGTCTCTTGGCGCTCCTCATTGTCAACTGCTCACATGGCGCCCTTCAATGTAATGGTGCCACCCCTCAACGCTCAAAGAGATAATTGCGCTCCTCACAGTGTCGGTGGTGTCCCTCAAAGTGGTTTAAGTGCCCTAAAAAAAAAATTGGTGGCGCGCCTCAAACTGATGCTGCCGTCCCTTAGCATATCTGCAGCGCCCCCAAAATGATAGTGCCTTCCCTTAACCGGCGCCGGGCTGAGGTTGTTTGAACCCCCCTCCCGACCCCTATAACTTGGCTACTTGGGCCACGTAGCGACACGCGGTAAGCGGCATTCGAAGGAGTGTCAAAACTACTTGGGTTAGTTGGTTAACCGTACTTTGGTTAGGTCAAGTCAAATGTCAAATATCAGGTGACCAGAGGTCATCAAAGGTGAAATGTGGGTGAAATGTTGTCTGTTTCAACATTTATTGAGAAACTGGCGCATAACTCGGGGAATAATAGAACTACAGCACCGCGAAAAAGCGCATTCGATAGCTCTTCAACGTTCCTATAAAGTCCTCAGACTTGACCTAACATCAACGACTTAACCTCCAGAGCACAACTTGTTTAACCCGTGTCGGGCCGGGGAGGGTTAAAGGGGACAGTGGACACCCTCCACCCCTCTACTGAGCTGTTTTAATGAAGAACCTTTTTACTTTAATAATTATTGACTCACGAAAGTTATGACATCGTTTTTTTTTAGTACTGTGCTCCTCTCGTCGAGATGCGTCGAATGAACTATAATTTGACATTCAAATGTCATTTGGGAAATTTGAGCTCAGGTCCAGGTCATGACCTGACTGGTAAAGGTCATGTTGCACATCAGTCGATTTGTATCGTCAAACTGAAATCATATAAGGTGTTTTCATCGCTCAGGCATATCGCATGTCTCTATCAGAAGTTATTGAAAAAAAGACCTGCTGGAGGCCTACCAATCCATGACCTGACATGACCTCAAGGACATAACGAGGGGTCGTGGGTGGCATTTTTCCGATTAAGTGTGTCATTTTTAATTGTTTTCTGATGTTTAAATTCGTTAACTTTGACATTTGTCTACCTATAAAAAGAGGCACATGCCCCGACTTTCTCCCATTTCCTTATACCTAATGGAAGGG